ACACCCATCCTTGATATAAAAATGCTCAGCAAAATAGGAATGGAAGGGAAATTTCTCTACATAATTAAGGACATATGAACAAAACCAACAGTCAGAGTTATTCTCAATAGGGGGAGACTGAAAACATTGCCTTGCAAACATGAACTAGATAAGGCACCCCCTGTTACTGGTCCTATTTAATGTTTTATTTGAAGTCCTAAAAAACAAACAAACAAACAATCACTGCTGTCAAGTTGATCCCGACTCATAGTGACCACTCCTTGAGTTTCTGAGGCAGTATCACTACAGATTTAGATCACCTAATCTTCTTTCCAAGGAGTAGTTGGTGGGTTTGAACTGCCAGGTTAGCAGTCAAATGCCTTAGGCACTACAGTACACTACCAGAGCTCCTAGGTATAGCAATAAGGCACTAAAGGCAAATAAAAGCCATCCAGTTTGTCCAAGAAGTTAAATGATCTCTGTTTGCACATGATATGATCCTATACATAGACTAAGCCCAGACATTCAACAAGAAAACTACTGGAACTAATAGAAAGATTCAGCAAATTGTCAGGGTACATAACAAAAAATATACAGGTCAATATACAAAGATCAGTATGATTCCTGTACACTAACAAAGGAATGGGACATCTGAGCGTTAAATCAGGAAAACAATACCAATTACAATAGCCACTCAAAAGATGAAGTGCTTAGGAATAAATTTATCCAGAGATTAAAAAAAAAAAAAAAGAAAAAAAAAAAAGACCTGTTTATAGAAACGCCATTACAAGAAACAAAAAAGAGACCTACATAAATGGAAGAACATACCATGCTCATGAATAGGAAGAGTTAACACTGTGCACTGTGAAAATGTTAATACTGTTCAAAGTGATCTACAAAGAGAATGCAATCCCAATGCAGATTCTATCATTCCATCATCATTCTTTAAAGAGATGGAAAAATAATCACCAACTTTATATGGAAAGGAAAGAGACTCTGGATAAGGAAAGCATTACTTAAGGAGAACAAAGTAGGACACATCACAGTCCTCAATGTCAAAATGTACTTCACAGCCACGATAAAGAAGACAGCCTGTTATCAGTACAACATCAGACATGTAGACCGATGGAACAGAATTGAGAACCCAGAAGTAAATCCATCCACCTCTGGACAGCTGATCTGTGCTAAGGGGCAGAGACCTGTTAAAAGGAGGAAGAGAGGGTCTCTAACAAATGGTTCTGGCAAAACTGAATATCCATTTGCAGAAAGATGAACCAGAATCCTTATATCGCACCCTATACAAAAATGAAATAAAGTTGGATCAAAGATCTGTATGTAAAACCTAAAATCATAAAGACCATCAGAGAAAAAACAGGGACAAACATAGGATCCCTAATTCAGGGCGTAAATGCACTCTTCAATATAACTAAAAATGCATAAACACCAGAAGAGAAAATAGATGATTGAGACCTGCTAAAAATTAGACACTTTTTATGCACATCAAAAGATTTCACCAAGAGCAAAGATAGAACCCACAGACTAGGAAAAAAAAAATCTGGCAATGACACATCAGATAAAGGTTTATAGAAAACCTCATCACTTCAATATCAACAAGACAAAAAATCCAATTAAAAATGAGCACACTACATGAACAGACACTTCAACAAAACAGACATTCAGGCAGGTAAGAAACACATGAAAAAAATGCTTGTGACCTTTAACCATTAAAACCCACAGAATCAAAAGGAGCTCCGGTGGCACAATGCCTAAGGCACTTGATGGCTAACCAGAAGGCTGGCAGTTCAAACTCACTAGCCACTCCTTGGAAGGAAGGTTGGGCAATCTACTTCCCTACTGATACTGCCCTGATCAGGCACCCAAGAAGGGGTTGCTGTGAGTCGGATCTGACTCGATGGCAGGGCATTTGGTTTTTGTTTTTGAATCAAATTGAGTCTGACTCCTAGAGACCTCCATTGCATTTCCAAAGCTGTAAATCTTTACGGAAGTATATTTCTCTCCTTCCTCCCATGGAGTACCTACCTAGTAGTTTGAACCACTGACCTTTTAGTTAGCAGCCAAATGTTCTCATTTGTCCCATTTGCTGTTGTTGTTGTTGTTATGTGCTGTGGAGTCAAACCTGACTCATAGCGACCCCTCCTTGGGTTTCTGAGGCAGTATCACTACAGAAGTAGGATTGCCCAACCTTCCTTCTGAGGAGTGGCTGGTGGGTTTGAACCGCCAGCCATTTGGTTAGCAGGCAAGTGTCTTAGCCACTATGCTACCAGTAATGTTAAATACATTCTAAAGTATTAGTAGCTATGCATGCTTGACTACCTACAAGGCATTGCCTATGCCCGTTTTTTGGCCTCTTGTCATTTTAATATTTTATCTCTATCATATTGATTTGTAGGAAATAACTATATATTGTAGGAGCTCTGGTGGCATAGTGTCTAAGGCATTTTATTGCTAACCAGAAGGCTGGCAATTCAAACCCACCAGCCACTCCTGGGAAGGAAGGTTGGGCAATCTAGTTCCATAGTGATACTGCCTCAGAAACCCAAGCAGAGGTCGCTATGAGTCTGATCTGAATGGAGGGCAGTGTGTTGCATTTTGTTATTTATATATTGTAGATACCAATCTTTAGTAAGTTATATGCGTTACAAATATCTTCATTTTTTTTTTTTTTTTTCTTGGTTACACAGGAGTTTGCTTTTGATCCAGCTGAATATGTGCATGGAGTAGTGGCTCCCAAGGTGGGCATGAAGCAGACGCCCAGGGTTGTAATGCTGGCTCCACTACTTGCAGACTGTGGGACCCCCAGCCTGTTCCTTAGTCTGTTGTTACCCTGCTTTCACTTCTGTGAAATAGATTTGTTATGAAGGCTAACTGTCCAGGACTTAGAGCAGTGCTGGGGATAAAGTGAGAGCTGTGTGTTGCTGTTCTTGTTCCTGTTAGGTACCATCACGTCTGTTCCAGCTCACAGCCACCCTGTGTGCAATCCCCGGTCCGTGGCCATCCTCCCAGTCCTTGCTGCGTTGGAGCCCGATGTTGCAGCCCCTGTGTCCAACCATCTCTTTAAGGATCTTCCTCTATTTCGCTGACCCTTTTGTTTACCAAGCACAGTGACCACCTCCATGGACTGCTCCCTCCTCATAGAAGGTCCAGATTAAGCAAAATGAAGTCTTGCCAGACTTGCTTCCGAGGAGTATTCTGGCTGCACTACTTTCAAGACAAATTTGTTTGTTCTTCTGGCAGCCCATGGTATAGCCTGTATTCTCTGGTATCACCATAATTCAAATGCATCAATTCTTCTTTGATCTTCCTTAGTCACGGCCCAGCTGCCACATGCATAGGAGGCTACTGAAAATACCATGGCTTCGGTCAGGTGCACTTTAATCTTCAAAGTGACATCTTTGCTCTTTGTCACTTTTAAAGAGACCTTTTGCAGAAGATTTGCCCAATGTAATAATCCTTTGATTTCTGGAGTGCTGCTTCCACAGGCATAGATTGTGGATCTGATTAAAATGAAATCCATGCCAACTTCACTCTTTTCCCCATTATTCGTGATGTGGCTTATTGGTCTGGTTGTGAGGACATTTGTTTTCTTCATATTGGGGTATAATCTACAGCAAAGGCTGCAGCCTTTGATCATCACCAGTAAGTGTTTCAAGTCCTCTTCACTTTTAGCAAGCAAGGTTGTGTCATCTCCATATCACAGCTCCTTAATGGGCTTTCCCCCAACTCTGATGCTACAGACTTCTTCATATAGTTTACTTTCTCAGATGATTTGCTCAGCATACAGATTGAATACTGATTTTAAACCATGCACTATTCCCTTGTTAGTTTCCAAAGACTGCCTCTTGGTCTGTGTATAGTTTCCACATGAGCATAATTAAGTATTCTGGAATTCTCCTATAAGTCTTAGCTATTAAAATTGGTCCTTTTTAGTGTATTGTCTTAAAAATCCTTTCCTAGTATTTTTACCTTATTTATTTAAAGCCTAAATTTTGTCATCGATACATTTTTTGTCACTCTTTGTGGATTCCAGATCTAACACATGAATGTGCTTCAATAGGTATGGACTGATCTAAATCACACCCATATTTTTGCTCAAATTGAATTCTCTACAGATGATTTCTATTTCAAGAAATAGCGTTTCTGCTGCGAGAGCTAACTTTACACCCAGAAATTGGAAGTCCATTGAAATTAGAAAAGCTTCAGAAATGACTTTACTTTTATACAATACTGCATGATATAATTGGGTGAACATTTACTATGGGTAATTCCTAGACCCCTGCTCTTTAAGAAACATGAATAGTCCAAGTTTATTGACAATGAATAGTTTGTTTGCTTTTTAAAAACAGCCACCTTAGAGCAGTTTTTAAGAGGAGGAATCAAGTGCATAATATATGCAATTGCATAGAATTCCCTAATAGAGTGAATGTGCACTTAAAGGAAATAAAATCCAACCCAGGCTTCTCCTGGGACTTGTGTTCTGGGTAATCATACTTTTAATGCATTTTAACTGTGCTACAGGACTCGGGGAAAGCATTCAAGTGATTCATGTGCTTTGTCTGCTCAAAAGGCAGGTGCCTCTGTCTCCACAGGACCACTTTACATTCTGTGCCACTGATATTTTTTCTATTACAATAAAACGTGTTTCTTCTTGTTTCTGACTCATCGTAAAATTCAAACACTTTTGAAAGACATGTACAGAAGAGTAAATATTATGCAATGGTGTAATGTGTGCACATAAAATCATCCATTATTGCAGATGAGCAGACAAATACTGAAGGAGGAACAAAACCAGGGCCACTAGCTTATTTGTGCTAGCGTCACCCAGGACAGCTTCATCCCACTCCAGACTAAGGCAGTGGAAGATCGAGAAGTGGGAAATGTCAAATGAGCTCTAATGATGACATATTTCTGCATTAGTCAGTGGGATGTGTGTTCTATAGAAACAAGCAACCTTTATCCAAAAAGTGTTAACCAAAATATGGTATTTTGTTTAGTCAAGCTCCATGTCCTCTGCTGGTTGATAGAAGTTTTGCTCCACAGAGTGACTCAGGGCCTCTTCTCAAAACAGGACATTAAAGAGCTAGCAGATGTCATACCTGCCCTATGCCTAGGGCAGAGAATGACACTGTCACACTGTCTTTCATAGCTTCATCTCTGTGCAAGGGGACATCTCAGTGGGGGCTTCAGTGGGCCTCCGAGGAGAGGAGAGCTGGGTCTGGATGAGCCTGGGATTGGTATCCACTGACTTGGTCACTTTTATTGCTTAGGTGGGTGGCAGCTTAAGAGGAGGAGAGACACTCTCCTCTTGTCTTTTTATTGTGATTTAGAAATATGAGCTACAAAGTCCCTTGTGACCTGTGTGGCCAACTTTTTTTTTTTTTTTTTTTAACAATCTACTTCTGTAAATATTTACTGTCTCAGAAACCCAAAAGGGGCAGATATGTGTCAGAATCTACTGAATAGCAGTGAGTTAAGCCTTTTAGTAATCTGTAAAAAGGAATTTGAGTAGTACAAATGGTTGAGTACTCAACGACTACAGGAAAGGTTGATGGTTTGAATCCATACAGAGATGCCTTTGGAAAAAAGGCCTGGCAATCTACATCTGAAAGGTCACAGCCATTGAACAGCCCATGGGCAGTTCTACTCTGAAACACATAGCATCTCCAGAGGCAGAATTGATTCAGCAGCTGCTGTTTGGTGGTGGTTTTTGTGTACTATACTAGTTAAAGGAGTTGCTTTCCTGCATGACACATACAGTGAAGCTCTTGACTTCAAACTGAAAAGTGCGTGGTTTGAACCCACAGACAGGTATTTGGTAGACAGGCTTGGTGATCTGCTCCCAAAAGCTCACAGCCTTGAAAACATTGTGAGTAGTTCTACTCTGCACATACATGTTGCCAAGAGGCAGAATCAACTCGACAGCTTCCATCAACAACAATAAAATGAATATAATAACAGAGAGGCAATAGGAAGTCCTGGAGGATGTAACAGGAGAACAAGCAAAAACCCACACTCACTGCTGTAGAGTTGTTTCCGATTCATAATGACCCCTCCTAGATTTCCTAGGGGGAGCTCTGGTAGCATAGTGGCTAAGACACTTGCCTGCTAACCAGACGGCTGGCGGTTCAAACCCACCAGCCACTCCTCGGAAGGAAGG